CGAAATTATTCAAAATTTAATTTTTGAAAATTTTTATTTAAAGAAATCATATTTTAAAATTGTTGAGATTTTTTGTACTACTTATAAAGTAACAGAGTGAAGATACAAATTTATATTTTTCAAAAAAAAATATTCATCAAAAAATGAATATTAAAAATAATTATATTTAAAGAATAGAAATATGTATTTCCAAAAAAACACTAATTAAGTAATAACAAACCATTTTCAACAATTTTAAAATATAGCTTTTTAGTATATACATTAATTACAAAAATCAATTACTTGATAACTGCATTATTAAAGGAAAAAATGAGGTTAACGTACTTAGTGATTCGCCTTGTATTCAATAAAACATATCAATACATTTTGTATATTAATCTGATTTGGACAGTAAATTTTCCGCCCGCCGGACATTTCGTATCCACTGAACGGAAAAAGGTCATTTCCCAACGCTTCAACTAACATCAAAAATTTAACTTCCAGTGCATGCATGATAAACAATAAGTTACTAATAATTATAAAATATCCTTTAAAAAGTGGCTGACAAATTGCTTGAATCAGAATAGTTACTGTACCTATGCAAATACTTGTCTTTGAATTAATATTTAAAACATCCATACTTCCATATTAACTGAAGAGGTGCACTCTAAACCTAATAATAGAAAAAAAGAGCAGTTTTCTATGTAATTTTAAATAAATATATTTAGAAAACGTTCATTTAAGTAAATACAATTAGATAGCGTAATATGAATTTTAGATTTTTACTTTTACACTACATTGTGTATACTATAATATATCTATAGATTTTCATATTATTTATGTTAATGTTAATAATTTGATTTGACCTGTTCAAAAAAAAAAAATAAAACAAAATCTTTGAAACGTTTTCTTCTTTCTGGATGTTTAAAATTAGATTTTTACAGACCATTGATAAGATTCAATTACAATGTCAAATTTTTATTTCAAACTACTACAAACACAATAAAACCATGATGTTCCTCGTTTCTCGATGTAATTTTTTTAGCTTTTAAACATTTAAAATTAGCATAATAGATCATTTTTACATACAAATAAAAATAATACTTATGTGCAGGTTATAACTTACAAGATAATCTTTAATCAAATAATCATATAATAATAATTGTTTTTATTGATTAATAAATATTTAATAAATCATGAAGTCAACATTTATATTATAAATAATATTTTTATAATATAAGTAATACTTAAATTTATAAGTACATATTAAACTCAAGGTATTGTTTTTATTTTACTTGACTAAGTTTTATCAAACCCGATCAACTTTTTTTTCTTTTTACATTTTTGTAGAGATTGTACCAATGTTTTAAAAAGAATCATCTCTTCTTGAATATTCAAAAAAAAATTCAGATGAAACCTCATACAAGAAGTAACATTGTTAAAAAGAAATTACCATAAAAATACGTTTATGGTTTTTATCGTACATAATGTAAGGTAGTAATATAATTTTTAAAGAAAAATATATATTAAGTATAGAAATAAATTTACCAAAATATTTATAACACGATTATTATTATATCTAGCACAGAAGCACGCAATGGGTTTAAATACTTTTGTTTTTAAATTTATAGTAACGATTAATAGTTATTTATAAAGGTTAAAAGTATAATTTTCACATATTTTTAAGATTTTATTTGTCGATTTTCTTGACTGACAAATTAGTTTATACCTATCATAATAACATAATAATATTGTGCAAAAAAATTAACGAACGACTTTTAATAACTTATTAAAATCTTGAAAGAGGCAAAAAACATTAATTAATATTACAATATTATAACTATTATAGACATAAATAATAAATTATTTTACATTTGTACAAATTATGTAAATATTATGTTAATTACAGTCGTTTAAAATTGTTGTTAATTTTATATAAACTACGAGTATAATAACAATAAATTGTGTTATTTAATTTCACGTAAATATATTTTTATTATTGCATATATTGGTAAATAATCGCTACTGAAAAAAATATACAATTATTATAATTTAGTTTTTAAAATAATAAAAAAGTTTTATAATTTAAAATGTATCGTTCAATTCCATGGGACTGAAATAGACATTAAATAAACCGATATTATACATTAAAACTATTTGTAAAATATATAAGTGTAATTAACTAAATTGTGAGTTAAAATAACTATTACTTGTTATCTGGGATGTGTAGACAAAATAACCTAAGTGTTCTAATATTCTTTAAAAAAATAAAATTACTAAGGCTTATTTAATATCTAGTACAACTAATGTTCAATATATTAGTGATTTTCTTTCATGATAGAGAAATATTTAATTAAGAGAATTCAATTATTTACCGTTTTTTATAAATTCAATATAAATAAATTGTTTTTATGGATGTGCGTGCAATTTGTGTAAATGTGTACGGACAAGTGATTCTTATATTAATGTGTATAACTACTTACATTAGAATTAGCAGAGACTCGCGTATACTGGAATATACCTACATGAAACCAAGGATCAATCTGTGATCAACGAATAATATTTTTGTTATAAACAATAAACATATAGGTACCCACGCATTATACATATTGTCCGCATCAGTACTGGTAGGTTATAACATGATAAGATACAATAATATGGAAACATATTTAAATTTTCAGTGAAATTTACTTTATTGATTGCTCCACTTTGTTGTGATGTTTTTTTTTTTTTTTGTATTTATTCTGTATAATTATTGCCTACTGTTTAAAAACCTTCAATAATATCATTTGAAATTAAAAGTTAAAATCGAAATTAAAAGAGAAAGTTAAAAACTGCAAAGATAGATGTCAGAAAAAAAAAAGTAATAATAATAATGATAATATCATTAAAATAACAAATTAAAATATTATATTTTCAAAAATCTTATCATACTACCAATTGTATTGGTAAGATGGATAAAAAAATATATCTGTTTATGTAAAATAAATATAGTGTACAGAATCTCCTTAATATGATACGTCATTTTTTTCAGATATTTTGTTGTTTTCAGATAAGCTATGTGGATTTGTATCGAAAAAAAACTTAATACTCGGTGTATTGTGTTTACTATTAATTCGATTTTATTAAACTGTAACACTATTGAAATACTAGAATAAAAATGTTCGATTAATAATGAGATTATACTTTTTTTTTTTTTTTATATTTGTTAAACTAATCATCTTGATTTTTATAAAAATATTTGTTTGTGGTTTTTTTCAAATAAAATACAGGTAAAAAATATGTACAAATTTGTATAGTATAATGTTTAAAATTAAATTAATTTACTATTTATGTTTATTTTTTATGCTTAATGAATATAGGTTAAAAAACTCCATTCGATAATTCGATTTTTTAAATACATATCAATAATGACCAAGAACAAAATGCAAAGAAACTGATTATTATTAATTCTTTTCATTTAATTTTGTTTATTTTTTTGTTTTGTTTTGTTTTAATAAAACTTGAATAATAAAACAAAATATAATAATTATCACCTCCAATCATCGATTATAGAGAAATAAACAAAACACAACCATACATAATCAGAATACATAAATATAAATTTAAATAATCATCACTATAGTTTTAAGTATAAAAATAAAATAGGTTTATTAATTTTGCATAAAATATACATACAAGAAGGAAGTTTAATTCAATAACTAAAAAATAAAATTATTAATAAAAAATAAAAGTTATTTCCTTTCTTTTTTTATAAAATTATATCAAATATTGTTAGTTTAATATAAACATTAAGCTAAATACTAACTTACGATGGTAAATATATCAAAAATATCTTTTGAACATTATATTTGGTACTAATTATATTAAACAATATAAATAATAATTTTAATTAACTGGTTTTGTTCGAATTTATTCTATTAAAACCTGTATTATTATTCTTAACGAATACAATATGGTTCAAGTATATTTTAAAATAAATATAAAACAGTTAATTACTTATTTTTTTTTTTTAATTCAATATTTATGTATTAATAATAAAATAATTTAATACTAAATGTCACAATTTAAAATAATTTTAAGACATTTTCTTAGGAACGTGCGGATTAGTGCTAATCAAAGACAAATTAACAAAATAAATAGTTCGATAAGTGCTAAATAATTTAAAATTAATTATTAAATGAGTAATTATGGTATCTTTAAGATGTTTAAATCACCATTTAACTACTATCATTTGAAAATTTACAATAATTTATTATATTGATAAAAAATTGATACAATTATTTTTATGTTACAAAGGTTTTATTATTACATAAATTGATAAGTTAGCACAATAATTTCACAAAAAATGAAACGTGTAGTTAAGTTTTTTGGAAGTATCTCTATAACTTATAATAAATAAAATTTTCTAATAATTAAACATTTGTCTAGAACTTCCAACGAATCATTCAACATTTGTAATCTTTTGGTAAATAAATTACTAGGGAAATTACAAAGGAAATAAATGTATAATAAAACAAGTTAAAAAATAATTCTAAATATAATGAAAGTTATAATAAAATTCCTAGTTGTTTTATAATACAGTAGTAAAATATATCCAATTTCGTATTACTGAGTTCTGACTTCATTCCTAGGTATTTCGTGACACAAAATAATTTAAATATACATTGCAAATTCAGTATTATATTATTCAATATTTAAACTTAATGTACAACGAGATCGATAAAAGTATAACTTATTAAAGAAAATTATACTCTAAAAACTATTATAGTTTGTCATAGAAGTGGTTATTGAAACACGATTTGTATCTTTTCAAAGGTAATTTGAAAACGCAACGATATCCATATAAAACGTTGTGCCTCCGCGTTTAAAATAATAATAAAATCGATACGATACTGTTTTTAAGCAACTAAGTATTCATAAAATATTGTCTTTTGTTTTAAGAAAATGGCTTTTAGCTGTAGCCGACGTTTTCACTGTATACACATGATACCTCAAAGCCCACCATAAAGTTTACATACCCGTGATTTTTATTGCAACACAAATCCGGCGGTAATCCAAATTGTTTCGCTTAAATATCACGTTATTATTGTCGTATTTACGATAGTGTGTGTTTAATTATGACGCCAATACACTTCGCGAATCGTACGCGCGTAAGTATGCTACTCACTCGAAAAAAATCATTCACGACCGTATCGAAATCCAAGTAACCGTAACGGAGTCCGAACAACGACTGATTATGATGGCAACACCAACTACTGGCGGATCGCATTGCCACCCTTCAGCGACACATGCGACCGCGTTCCACCACGGTCGGCGGGGATTTTGTGGTCGCCAATGAAAAGACGTGAACGTTTCATCCAGCATTTTACAGTTGAATGTGACAACTGTAACATTTGACTAGATTAACGCACATTGGAAATCGTATTTCATCGCAAATGTCAAAAAAAAAAAAAATTCATAAATCAATATAGGTAACGCCATTAAATGTAATTAATATATTTCGCTATCCCAAATACATTAATACTTCTTGCCGGTACATATTATATCTGTAACGCTGTGCATGTCCAACAATAGATAATCTCTTATAATACTATAAATATGTCTTTATCGTGGTATTAATGTGTTGTTTCAGATTATTTTATTTCACATACCCGCTGATGAAAATGAAATATTGTTATATTTGTAGAAATGTATAAAATAAAACATCTGATTCACGTTCTTTCGCTATCGGATTTTACTGAAAGAAAACACATTTTATGAGTTTATTTTTTTTAGATGAATACAAACGAAAAAAAAATTTCGATGCTCGCACAACAATTTATACAATATTAATTAAACTATTTAGAGTTTTAAAAAATACATATCGTGGATTTAAAACAGCAAGAAGAAGAATTTTTAGTATACTTACAAATATCTGTAAATAAATACGTATTAAATTATCGATCAATATTGTTCTTAATAAATTAAGCAATTTATTTTGAAAATTTTTTATTTTAGATATCATTAGGTTGTTATCAACATTGTTTCATTTTATTTATATTAAGTCTAACTAAACGGATTCAACATATTTTTCATTTAATGGGAACTATAAACATTTCTACTAATATAAGGGTTTCTAATTTCGGAAGAATTCTCAAACTTATTAACATACGTTTATTTCAAAAGCTTTCTGAGAAGATATACTACAATAAATTAAAATTTAATTATTTTTAATATAATATACTCATAGTATTTAAAACAAGTATCGTTTAGTTCATAAAAAAAAAATATATATATGTGAAATTATTTATACGAACATACCTTTCTCTATTAGAAATAATGTAAAAAAAAAAAATACAAAATTGTTATAACAACAAATATTATCTATTTTAAATTCAAAAGAAGAAATTCTCCAGTACTTAAAGGAAACAAAAAAGAAAAAACATTATAAGAACCTAAAAATTATATACATAATAAATTATTAACAAAATCGAATTTTTTATTATTATTATTATTATGGTCATATTATTAACTTAAAAACCAAATTTTTTCGTGGAGATGATTTGAAATTTACAGCAAAATTTCTTTGAATATGCATTTTGAAAAAATAATAAATTGTATAAATATTTTGTCTCTTTTTGCGATTTTTATAAATATTGTCAATTTAATACATATTTTGCTTTTTATTAGATTTAATATAAAAATACTGTTTTTTTAATAAAATAAACTTATAGGTACATTGAATATAAAATTGCTATTAAGTATTGCTTTATTGCTTACAGTGTTTGAAAACATCAAAAATATATAAATTTTACATTTTTTTCAATTGTTCAAATTGTAATAATAAATAAAACAATTATTTTATTTAATCTAACTAAAATAAGAAAATATCAAAATACATCATCATATTTTTTTGACAATTATTTTGTAGACATAATATAGGATGACAGCCCATCTCATCTAAGAATCGTATTTAATCATATACAATGATTTATCATTGAATTTAAATTTAACAAATCCATTATAGCGACCTTTTCAATAACGTGGTAATCTTGACATAAAATATACAACAGATCGGTTACCTACTTGTCTGCGGTTTATTTTAATGTAAACATATTTTATCGACCCATAACTCTACAAGACAAAATATTTTTAAGTTTTTAGTAAAACCTAGTTTCAAAATATATGGCTTGAATCACTATTATAGGTAAATTATCAAATGCATTTTATTTACAACAAGAGATAAAAAGTGAAATATAACTGAAAAGGTAAATGATTTTATTCATCGTACATGGTCTATCAAATCTAGTTAAATTGTTCGTGATATATTATTTACAAAGTTCTACTGGATAATTCTTTTATCAAACGATACTCATCATTTCAAAATGTATTAACGTTTTTGGAAAAAAAAAATTTACATTATTTAAAGTTAAAATAAAAAAAAACTTTTTTTTTGAAAATTAAAAAATAAATACATTTTGTTTTTTCCGGCTAGAAATTATGTATAAATAAATTTTCAAAAACATTAATAGATATCAAAATAATAAATATTCTTCGAATAATTAACATGTTTAGGTACAATAATTAGCCACCTAAATATAATACATAAACTAATGTACTTCAAAAGTAAAATATAGTTATTTTTATATTTTTATTAATTGATAGTTAAATTTTTGAAACCTTATTTCTAATAATTGTTAAAAAAAATGTGTGAAAATACTAGAAATATTATTATTTTTTGTTATATCTGAGAATTATGTCAACAAAATTAGTTTTATTATTATAAAAACGAATAATAAGATTGAATTTTTAAAAAGTTTTATTATATACTTATTGTGTTTTTTAGATAGAATTATTTGTTATTTAAATTGTATTCGACCTTTTTTATGATTAAAATAACTTTTATATGAATATTATTATAAGTTAAAAATATAGTTTATGGTAATACTGCATTTTAAATTAGAATATTTTACTAATATCTGTATTCATAAGATAAAATGCAATAACTTATTTAATTCAAATAATTTATTTTAGTGCTATCATAATATGATATTGATCATTTAATAGTTTATTTTATACTATTAATATGCCAAATTTCCATTATTTTATACTATTGTTATGCCAAATTTCCATTGTTTTATCCAAAAACTAATCTTATCATAGATAATTTATAAGTTTAATTTAAAAAAAATATTAAAACTCTCTACTTGTAAAAAATAATTACTGTTTGTTAGTCGTCGATTATATGAAGGAATTAAACCATTAATATTTCATCTATACTGTTTAATTTAAAAATATATATTATTTTGTCTTAATTTATTATACGACGCAGTTAATTAATAAATTGAGCACAAACAATTAATTTACAACTATTGAATTTATTGTTTAAGTACGTAAAAATAGCGCAATTAGAGCTAAATAATTTCTAATTTTCGTGGGTAAATTATTATAAGTTTAAATTAAATATTTTAATATCAAACAATGGATCTATCCATCTAATATTTATTTAAGAATGAAATTAAAAATATTAAACGTGATACTCAGAAGTTTCAAGATTAAAATTACGTTGTTTTTGTATAATAATATTATAATAATTTTTCTATAAAAGATATTTCTACCTATGTAATAAACAACTAACCCAACTACATACAAAAAACCAAAAGTGATGAAAAAACAATGCACTCGTGTAGCGATCTGTTTGGTTTTTATTAGGACGTTCAAAATAAAAATTGTTTGAAAGAACCCATAAAATTACACTCCAACGGGAAGGATTTGAGTAACACAGCTATTATAGTAATTAGTAAATGATAAATGTAGGTAAATTTATTATTTAAAATTTTAACATATGCCAATTATCATCATAAAATTTTAATATGAACAAAAACTTTGTACTTACATAACAATATTATATACCTACCTAGTTTAAAGGTTCAAACGTCATTATTATATGTTTGAACGTCAATGAAATTATGTAGATAGTACTAGTTTCTTGATCAAGTAATTATAATTTTGTTTATAAATATCAAATATTATTTAATCTCAAAAACAACAATTAATGTTGAATTCTACCCACATAGTATATACTTTAGGCTTGGATCACACTATGCGTTTTGTCGGCTGCTGACTAACAAGAGCCGATCGGTAATCGGTTCAATAACCGCAGCACTCAAAATAAAATAGATTCAAATATGAAACGCGTTATTAGAGCCAGGACTAGACCGATTTGCGGAACCGATTTAAAATGGTCAGGAAGCATTTCAGGATGTAAAGCACAACATATGCAATTCAGTTTGTCCAATCACATTTGCGTGGATTATCAGTGACTGAAATTGAAAATTTTATGAATAATTAATATTCATTTTTAAATTTAAATAATTAAAAATTTGAAGTATATTTGTAATATAAATTTATATATTATTATGTTTAATTTATTTTATAGATGTATATTATTATTTAATAGCATAATTAGTTGATACATATTTTAAATAAAAACAAATAATTTTAATTAACACGACCTTTTTATTATTTTTTTTTTACTTATAATATTAGATACATTTCGTTAAAATTGAAAATCAGTTTAAAATTAAAATTTTCGGGCTTTTTAATTTCATTTGTATGTATTCGATTACTGATAAAACGCACAGTATGATCGATCGTCCCGATTGCGGTTAATCGGGATAGTATTTTTCGGTTGCCGACAAAACGCATAGTGTGATCCAATCCTTACGTCTGTCATATAATAACCATGTAAATTACTTCGAATTTTTAATGTTTTAACGAAATATTTATACATCCTTAGTTTCTAAGAGTAGCAATGAATATATTGATTTTACGCAATGAAGTGTGTTTTATGTAAATTCACTATCCTATCATCAATTTTCGGGGCAGTAAAAATTATTATGATCGCGAATGGTCTTTGGTAGAAAATAGCATCTATAGTTAGTATTTCGGGATGTCAACCAGAGAAGAATATTTCCATAATTTTTTTAAATATTGTAAAAAAACTAAAAAAAAAAATGTAAAAAAAATGGATATATTTATCCTAAATACATAGTTTATAGATAAAATATATTTAATTTTGGCGTATAAAATTAAAATATAAATAACCACAGGGACTATAATTTTCCATAAAATATTTGTATGTACAAAAAATGGAAATCATTTTTTTTTTTTTTTTAAGTATCATTCGTAATACAAAATAAAATTGTTCTAATATTAAAATTATTTTAATCTGTTTATAGTGTTTATACCACTA